CACACACACACACACACACACACACACACACACACACACACACACACACACATATAAAATAAATAATTAACAAAATAAATAATTAAATAATTTTGTAAATAATTAATTTACAAAATATTGTGGGACCGCCGGGAACGATGACGGCGCTAAAATCGGTCTTGCCGACGGGATGGCGTCAGAAGACTCGGAAGGAGGACGCTGCATACGGAGGGCACTGTGTAAGAAAGGAAAGGGCAGTCTACAGAGTTAGACCCATGACTCAGATCAGATTATCATCACTTTTGACTTACAACTACATAATCTATTACATTAAACAGGTTTATCTCAACATTACCAAACAAGACAAGGAAATAACTTTTTTCTGGGTGCCTGCTCACGTCGGGATCCCAGGCAATGAATCTGCAGATGCTGCGGCCAAACAAGCAGCTATAGAGGGATACAAACCTCCCTTCAAGGTCCCTTACGAGGACCTTCTCACGGAATCTACTGCACAAGCGAGCAGGCAGTCCGAAGAAAGTATGAAGATTGTTTCAAGCTCTAAAGGCACCCTGTATTATGAAAATTTCCATAACGCTTCGCCTAATAAAGCATGGTTCCATGGGACCAATTTATCAAGAGAAGAAATTGTAATGATTAACCGCTTGAGATCAAATCATATAAACGTCAATGAAAGTCTCCATAGAGTCAACATGGTGGAGTCTCCCGCATGTCCTTGCGGAGATCCTCGACAATCAATCGATCACCTCATATTCCATTGCGAAACCTTCAATTACAACTCATCTCCCATTAGAAATTACATAGCGCAGAAATTTCCTAATCCCTCCCCGAACCTCCTCCCGGCCCTTCGCTCCCCTTCTCCTAAACTATGTCGTCTGCTCTTGGCTTACATGAAGGCCAACGAGCTTTTCTTTTAGTTGCTCTACATTCTTTCCCCCCTCCCTTTCTCCTTTGGCGCGCGACTCACCGTCGGGTGGTGGTAGGCGTCTGGTGGTGGGGAGGGGAATCGAGATCGCGCGTCATCACATCAAATCGGCAATCCCCCAACGTTTAACAACCAGATATGCAGACCTCAATGGACCTATTCAGCCTGGTTGGCTGCCTGACCAAATACTAGGAAGAAGAAGAAGACTTTTGACTTACTTTACTTGTACGGTTAATAAACCATGTTTTTTACTAAATACAATCACGGGAATTATCCTTTTCCCTACAATTTTGGGGGCTCAGCCGGGATACAACCGGAATACTATCGGAATCCTTGTGCGCGATGTATCAAGAGGAACGACATCGCATGTAAAAGTAATCGGCAAAAGACGGTAGAGAAGACATTGGCAACAGAAGCATCGAGAAGCCATTACCGAATCTACAGGAAGATAAAGACGACTACGATAGAGGACTACGATATTGGTAATAGAGTACATCCAATCAGGTGGGAAACTAGCGTTAAAACATAGCAATGGAAAAATTCGAGCAAGTTAAGACGATTGCAAATAACTTCAAAACGAGTTCAAAGAAGGCAGTTCAAGCACTGCATACATTAATTTTCGAGCAAGAGGGAGATAGAGAGAATCGGAAACGATTACGAGAGTTCAGAGGTTTTCTATTCGCTATAAATTCAGAAGAGTATAAATCGAAAATAGCGTATGTGGAATCTAACCTCATTTGGGCAGATTTAGTGTCTGTATGCAATATTCTAGCGATCGAGTACTCAGGGACAAAACGAGAATTGAGTCAACGCTTGTGCGATAGCCTGATAGACCTCAATTCACTCAACAGCTGCGACGAATCTGATAAAGAAGAAAATGCAGGGGATAGCGACATACAAGAGCAAGAGTCAAGCGAAAGCGATGAAGATGCAAAACGAAGAAGCCGAAAACAAGACAGTAAAGACGTAAAAAGACGAACAAGGAAGACGAAGTATAAAGAAGTAGCAGGAGAAGACGAAGAAGATAAAAACGAAGACGAAGAGGATAAAAACGAAGACGAAGAAGATGAAGTTGCAGAAGATCAAAATGAAGATGAAAATGATCAACGATCAGTCGAAACAAACCCCAGAGTGACTAATGCCAAATTTACCATGACGTTTCGAGACGTGGAAGATTCCATTAGGCACTACAACGGAGACGACAAATATCCGATGGAACGCTGGATCATGGATATAGAAGAAGCGGCTGAGTTATTTGGTTGAACAAATATTCAGAAACTAATATTTGCAAAGAAATCGCTAAAAGGCCTGGCAAAATTGTTTATCCAAGGCGAAAGAGGCATAACATCTTGGGAGAAGTTAAAGAAGGCGCTTAAAGAAAAATTCAGTCAGAAGATGAATAGTGCTGAACTACATAAATTATTAAGTAAAAGAAAAATAAAAAAAGATGAGTCAGTGCAAGTGTATTACTTAGTTATGGAAGAGATAGCTAGCAGAGGTAATATTGAGGATGAAGCGCTGTACTGTTACATTGTAGATGGCATAGAGGATAGCACAATCAATAAAAATATTTTATACGGAGCAAAAAACGCCAAGGAATTTAAAGAGAAATTAAAAGTATATGAAAAAATAAAAGCAAAGTCTACAATCCCGAGCAAATCAACGAACATAAGCGCAAGCAAGAAGACGAAGCCAAAGGACAAAGAAGCAACCAGATGCTACAATTGTGGTGAACTAGGTCACAGAGCGAGCGAGTGTGATTCTAGAAGCAAGGGTATGAAATGCTTCAATTGTAACGAATTTGGACACAAAGCAACTGAATGTAAAAAGGAAAAAGTGAAAGGGAAGAAAGAAGAAGAAACAACGATAATGAAAACAGAATCCGTGAATAGTCGCGATCCACCAAAAAATATGTACAAGATAGTCGAGATGAGGAAAGAGAAAGTAAATGCTTTAATAGACACAGGCAGTCAGTTTACTATTATCAATGAGAAAGTCTACGGAAAGACCGGATCACCGGAATTAACAATATCCACGATACTTTTCTCAGGATTCGGAAAGCGTGAAGTGAAGCCTATGGGGTATTTCGAGGACATAATCGCCATTGACAACGAATCCTTCCAATCAGTTGTATACGTAGTACCCGATGACGTAATGAGTATGGAAGCCGTGATCGGAAATGAATTATTATCACAAGCGGAACTGAAAGTTGGACCAGAGGGTATATCTATTACAAAGATACATGAAGATATGGTGTTTCCAGTTAACTACGTTACAGAAGAGGAGATGCAAGACACTTCGCATATTATCTGCAGAGAAAAAAGAAAAGAAGTAGAGCACCTCATCGCAGATTATCAACCTCGGAAAGTGAAGAATGCTGACATTGAGATGACCATAACGGTTAATGATGATCGAAAAGTAACCGTAAGACCAAGACGCTTACCATTTCACGAAAGGAAGATAGTGGACGAACAGGTAGAGCAATGGATCAAGGACAAAATCGTGGAGCCTTGTTCATCTGATTATGCCAGCCAAGTAGTGATAGTAAAAAGACGGGGCGCCAAGAGTCTGCATAGATTATAGAGCACTGAATCAAATAGTTGTCAAGGACCACTCTCCACTTCCATTGATAGACGATATACTAGATAGATTGCAAGACGCTCGAGTATTTAGCTCAATTGATCTCAAAAACGGTTTTTTCCATGTGCCAGTAAGAGAACACGACCGTGTCGACGAAGAGGATGCCATTAACAATCTCAAATTAGTACTGAAACGAGCAGAGGAATACGGCCTCGAAATTAACAAGAAGAAGTGTCAGCTGTTACAAAGGCGCATTGAGTTCCTAGGATACATCATTGAAGATGCCAAGTTATATCCATCAACTGAAAAAACGAGAGCAGTCTTAAGATTTCCAGAGCCACAAACGACGAAGGAAGTACAAAGTTTTCTTGGCATTACGGGATACTTCAGAAAATTTATCCCAAATTACTCAAGGATCGCCAAACCTCTGAGTGACTTACTGAAGAAGGATGCAGCATTTCAATTTAAGGAATCAGAAAGAAATGCCTTCACGAAACTGAAGAGATGTCTGGCAGAGGAACCGGTATTAAATATATATAATCATACTTATGAGACTGAAGTCCATACGGATGCCAGCCAGGACGGCTTTGGTGCAGTTTTACTCCAAAGATCACCTTCAGATAATGAATTGCATCCGATATACTTTATGAGTAAGAAAACCAGTGATGCTGAGAGAAAATTTTCCAGTTATGAGCTTGAAGCTCTGGCGGTGGTAGAAACTTTAAAGAAGTTTCGAGTTTACCTCTTGGGCAAATCTTTCAAGGTGGTCACCGATTGTTCTGCGCTTCAACAGACGATGCGTAAGAAGGACTTAATACCACGAATCGCTAGATGGGTTCTGTATCTGCAAGACTTTGACTTTACGATGGAACGCAGATCGGGATCAAGAATGACGCATGTGGATGCTTTGAGTCGGTATCCAGTAATGACAGTTTTTAATCATGACGTTACTCCAAAGATTAAAAGGGCGCAAGAGGCTGACAAGAATATACAAATTATTAAGCAGCGCTTAGAAGAAGCTTCTTATGAAGGATACCACGTACTTAATAGTGTAGTCTACAAACAAGAAAAGGGATACAATTTGTTGATGATTCCCAAGTCCCTTCAAGACGAGATTATAAGACGCGCTCACGAACAGGGTCATTTCGCAGCTAAAAGAACAGAAGAGAAGCTCAAACAAGAATACTACATCCCTGATTTGCGCACAAAAGTCGAGAAATGCATCACCAATTGCATAAAGTGCATTCTTGTTAACAAGAAACCTGGGAAAAAGGAAGGCTTTCTGCATCCGCTAACTAAAGAAGATGTACCTCTCCATACTTACCATATAGACCATCTAGGACCGCTTGAGTCAACAAATAAAAATTATAAACATATTCTTGCCGTAATTGACTCTTTTACGAAGTTCGTATGGATGTACCCAGTCAAGTCGACTACGTCCAAAGAAGTTATTGAAAAATTGGAATTACAGAAGAATATCTTCGGAAATCCAACTTGCATCATCTCAGAGGAACAGCGTTCACAGCCAATGAATTTGAAGATTATTGTCGTCAAGAGGATATTAAACATATTAAGATTACAGCCGGTCTGCCGAGAGCGAATGGTCAAATCGAAAGGATTAATCGCACCATTATACCTGTCTTAGCCAAATTATCTATCGAAGATCACACTAAATGGTATAAATACGTTCCCAGATTGCAGCAAATGTTAAATTCAACGTACCAACGCAGTATAAATACCACTCCGTGCGAATTATTAATAGGAGTCAAGATGAGAATGCAGGACGAAAGATGAAAGACGTACTAGAGCAGGAAATGATAAACGATTTCGAAAATTCCCGACAACAATTAAGAAACGAAGCAAGGAAACAAATTGAGAAGGTGCAACAAGAGAACCAGAGGCAGTACAACCTGCGTCGCAGGCCTCCCTTCAAATATAAGCTTGATGATCTAGTGGCAATCAAGCGGACACAACTAGGACCAGGCTTAAAGCTGAAGCCCAACTATCTGGGTCCGTACCGCATCGTTAAAGTCAAACCAAATGACACTTACGATGTCATAAAAGAAGGCCATCAAGAATGACCCATAAAAACAACCACATGTGCGGAATATTTGAAGAGCTGGGTGGAGGACAACGATCTTGTATCATCCGGATGATGTATCAGGACGGCCGAATTGTGGGACCGCCGGGATCAATGACGGCGCTAAAATCGGTCTTGCCGACGGGATGGCGTCAGAAGACTCGGAAGGAGGGCGCTGCATACGGAGGGCGCTGTGTAAGAAAGGAAAGGGCAGTCTACAGAGTTAGACCCATGACTCAGATCAGATTATCATCACTTTTTGACTTATTTTACTTGTACGGTTAATAAACCACGTTTTTTATCAAATACAATCACGGGAATTATCCTTTTTCCCTACATTATAATAAAATTTTCTCATTTTGTGATGCTTCGTCTTTAATTTTTTGAAATTACTTTTTGAAAAAAAAAACTGTTACTCTAATTAGTTACTTTTACAAAGTAACTTTCCTATTGTATATATGTATGTATGTTATAGGTATGTATAGTATGTAGGTATGTATATTATACGTGTGTGTGCGGACGTGCGTGCCTGTGTGTATATGTGTATATATGTATGTATGTATGTATGTGTCTGTGTATGTATGTATGTATTGTGGGAATGTGTATGAATGTTGATTTGTAGCGCGCGCGCCCTCGTAATAGGGATTTTCACTAGTTTCCCATGATCCGTCCGAAGCAGCGGCGCGGCAATCGCATCGCAACGCATCGCTGTTGGCAACAGCGATGAAGGAGGAGAATTCATTCTTAATCGAATCCTTGGAGAGATTGGTGTGTGTACAGCAGGACAGCGAGTGATTAACTTAGTGTATTTTTCTATCATTAAACTCATTAATAGAATATTACTCGATGTGACTTATTAACGGTCCTGATTATAACTGTAACCTCGTCATTTCCTACAATTTGGGGGCTCAGCCGTATAACGAGCAACGACGACGTTACGAGAAAAAGGACGACGCCGACGACGTTACGAGGAAAAGGACGACGCCGGTATAACGAGCAACGACGTCGTTACGAGGAAAAGGACGACGCCGGCATAACGAGCAACGACGACGACGCTACGAGGAAAAAGACGCCGAATAACGAACAACGACGACGACGCTACGAGGAAAAAGACGCCGAATAACGAGCAACGACGACGACACTACAAGGACAAAGACGCCGAGTAACGAGCAACGACGACGACACTACGAGGACAAAGACGCCGAGTAACGAGCAACGACGACGATACTACGAGGACAAAGATGCCGAGTAACGAGCAACGACGACGACACTACGAGGACAAAGACGCCGAGTAGCAAGCAACGACGACGACGCTACGAGGAAAAAGACGCCGAGTAGTAAGCAACGACGACGACGTTACGAGGAAAAGACGCCGAGTAACAAGTAAGACGAAGAGATTAAGATAAAGACGAAAGACGAAGGAATATTCCAGAAGTCAGCCATCTTGGCGGGAAGCCGTTAGAGGAACGTTCGAGAAGGCATAGGAAATAGGCGCAAGGCTGTCGAGCGCGTGTGTCGGCCATACATCGCTTGTGTAGTGCAGCGTTTGTGTAGTACATCTCTTTTGACGTCCATACGGCTTTAGTAAAAAATTGAAGGCGGTTCGACGTTACGAGTAAACGATGAAAACGCTTGGTCAGATTGGGCCAATCGCCGATAAGATACGAACGTCGTCACGGCCCGCCGTGTACGCGCTGTATCGGTTGATATTTGAGAAAGAGGGAGATCGCACTAGCCGCAGACAGTTACGTGGTTTTAGCGGTTTTGATTTTAACGACGTATCCAATGAATATAGGGAAAAGCTTGAGTATACTACTGCTTTTTCAACCGGTGATTTGACTTCCATATGCAACATCCTTGGTTTGGACTACACTGGTGCCAAAGAGGAACTGCGACGGAGAATCATAAGGGCACTTATGAACATTGAGATGTTAGTGTCGCACGAAGACGACGACGATGCAGAAACAGACGAAGAGCTGGAAGAAGAGCAAGGAGAGTGTCAACGAGGAAGCGAGAACAACGACGATACGAGTGATCAGCAGGTGGATGAAGAGGTTAGTGTCGCCTCACTAGCAATCAACGATACCGACTCAGTGAACAATGAACGAGGTGTACGAAGAGCAAGAAGGGACGCTACGAAAATTACGTTTAATTTTAAAGATATTGAAGACACAATCCGTCCATTTGATGGGATTGACTGTTACCCGATAGAAAAGTGGATTGCGGACTTTGAAGACTTAGCGATTTTATTTAAATGGAACGACGTACAGAAGTTGGTGTTCGGCCGTAAATCCCTTAAAGGTGTAGCTAAAACGTTTGCGCGTGGACTGAACGTGACGCAGTCTTGGGAGAAATTAAAAGAAGCATTAAAAGAAGAGTTTAGCCTCAAGATAGCCAGCGCCGATATACATCAAGGATTGGCTAAAAGACGATTGAAGAAAGACGAGGGCTTGCAAGAATATTATTTAGCCATGCGAGAGTTAGCTTCTCAAGGAAGTATCGATGCTGAATCAGTGATACAATATATCATTGATGGTATCCCGGAAGGAAGCAACAAGGTAGTTCTGTATGGAGCTCGAGACTACAGTGAATTCAGAACTCGCCTTCGTACGTTCGAGAAGATGCAGGCAAGGACATCTACCAGCAGCAGAGGTAATCTGAAAGGCGTAAAGGCAAACCAGGCAATTAGAGAGGACGCAAAATCCCTGAAGGACGATTCGAAGAAGACGACGAAAACAGCAAGCCGCTGTTACAACTGTGGTGAAAGCGGACATAGGTCAGATGCGTGCAAGTTTAAGGATAAGGGAAAGAAATGTTTCAAATGTAATGCGTTCGGGCATGAATCTAAGAATTGTCCAGATAAGGTTGGTCGAAGCGATACACAGGTAACGACGAATGTTCTAGTTAATTCTGTTAACGTAAGTCGTATGTATAAGGAAATTATAGTTGAAGGTAAAAGTTTTAATGCTTTATTAGATACAGGTAGTCATCTCTCTTTGATGCGCGAAGATGTTTTCAGGGCAATTAATGCTGCAAGGCTGCAAGAAGCAGAAGTACTTTTGACTGGCATTGCCCAAGGGCAAGTTAAGACGCTTGGATATTTCCAGACGACGATCGCCATAGACGATCTTCTTCTTCCATTAACGTTTTATGTAGTACCCTGCGCAGCATTAACTGTCAATATAATTTTAGGAACTGATTTCATTAATCAAGTCGAAATTAGAATTGATCAAAGCGGAATTAGGGTTAATAAGCCTAGTGTTCCGATTTTCCTTACAAATATTGAGTTAGAGCCGGATAAAGAGGATGATGTGATCCATACTGCCATAACGATTGATAGAGAATCTAAGGACGTTGTAGAAAAGATGATGTTGACGTACTAACCCAACAAAATTAAGACGACTGGTATTGAATTAAAAATTACAATGAAGGACGAAACGCCAATTTATCAGAGTCCACGGCGTTTAGCGTTAAAGGAAAGAGATATTGTTGAGAAACAGGTGGACAACTGGGTAAGCGAGGGAATTGTTGAACCTTGTTCGTCTGAATATGCGAGTCCCGTAGTGGTTGTTAAAAAGAAAGACGGTTCTCCTCGACTGTGTGTCGATTACAGGAAACTAAACAGATTAATGGTCAAGGATAAATATCCACTTCCGATAATAGAGGATCAAATAGATCAGTTAGCAGAAGCTCGCATATTCAGTACGATAGATCTTAAGAACGGATTCTTTCATGTAGACGTAGAGAAGCAAAACCGTAAGTATACTGCTTTTGTTACACATAAGGGGCAGTATCACTTTTTGAAAGTGCCTTTCGGTTTGTGCAATTCACCTCCTGTTTTCTAAAGGTTTATAAATCACATATTCCGTCCTCTTGTTAACGAAGGAATTGCATTGCTATATCTAGACGATGTAATAGTAATTGCAGCTAATCTGGAGGAAGGTATAAGACGTTTACGTAGAGTTCTTCAAACAGCAAGTGACTACGGTTTAGATATCAATAAGAGTAAATGTCAGTTGCTGCAACCAAAGATAGAATACCTTGGGTATACAATAGAGAACGGGAAAATCTATCTGTCCCCCGATAAAGTAAAAGCTGTTTTGAATTTTCCAGAGCCAAGCTCATTAAGAGATATTCAGAGTTTTCTTGGACTCTCCGGTTATTTTCGAAAATTTATCGAGTCTTACGCAATTAAGGCGAAGCCGCTCAGTGATATGCTTAGAAAAGAAAATTCATTCCAGTTCGCTTCAAAAGAGAAAGAGTCCTTTGAACGATTAAAGTTGGATTTAAGTCGCGGTCCAGTTTTAAAGATTTTTAACCCAAAAAATGAAACCCAATTACATACTGACGCGTGTAAAGACGGTTTCGGGGCAATGTTATTGCAGAAAAGTCCTGACGACGACAAGTGGCATCCGGTACATTATATGAGTCATAAGACAACCGAAGTCGAGTCTAGATATACGAGTTATGAGCTGGAAGTGTTGGCCGTGATAAAAGCTTTAGAGAAGTTCCGCCACTATCTTTTAGGAATACGTTTCAAGATTTTTACTGATTGTATAGCTTTTAAGCAAACGATGAATAAGACTAAATTATCCGCTAAGATTGCGAGATGGGCATTGTTGATTGAAGAATTCGACGTGACCATTGAGCCTAGGGTTAATTCTAGAATGAGACATGTTGATTCTCTTAGTCGTTATCCAGTTATGGTGATTAGTAGTGAAGATAGCATCCTGGTTAGAATCAAAAATACCCAGAGAAATGATTCGGAGCTACGGGCTATTATGGAAGTTCTAAAGGAAAAACCTTACGATGATTACATTCTACATGATGACGTGTTGTATAAATATAAAGACGGTCAAGAGTTACTGGTGATCCCGCGAGACATGCAAAACGAAGTGATCCAAATGGCTCATAGCAAGGGTCATTTCTCGGTCAAACGCACGGGAGAAGACATTAAACAAGAGTTTTACATACCGAAGCTCACAGCGAAAATAGAAAATG